TTCTTTCTTTCTTTCTTTCTTTCTTTCTTTCTTTCTTTCTTTCTTTCAGGTTTCATTTGTTTGATATCAATTTTTTAGGGCTGTTTATGTCGTGGGAAGTTTTTCTTTCTTTTTCAATCATAGCGGATAGTTTTGCTGGGCATATTATTTTAGGTTGGCACCATTGTCTTTTAGGAAATAGAGGGCATTACTCCAATTTCCACTGGGAATTCAGCTGTTATTCTGATGGGTTTTCCTTTATATGTGACTTGCACTTTTTTTTTTTCTTACAGTTTTGTGTACACTGTGTTCTATGACTTAGCATTCCAGCTATGCTATGCTATGGGGATTTTCCTTTCTGGTCTTGTCTATTTGGTGTTCTCTGTGCTTCTTGCATCTGTATGTGTGTGTCTTTCCTTAGTTTAGGAAAGTTTTCTCCTAAGACCTTATTGAAGATCTATCTGGTCTGTGCCATTGACTTGGATTCTTTTCCCCATCTATGACTATGATTTGAAGGTTTATACTTTTCATGGTGTCCCACATTTCCTGTGTTTTTTCCTTGTCATATTCCTTGCTACACTACTTTATCTTTGAGTCCCGATAGTTTCCTGTCTTTTGTCTGACCTATTCTGCTTGTAAGCCTTTCCATTGAGTTTTCTAGTTGAACTATTGAATTCTCAATTCCATCTGCATATTACATCTGGAGTCATCTTCAGTGTTTTATGTCCTTCCTGAAATCTTTTCTCACATCCTGGGTTGTGTCTGTCATTTCCATCAGCCTTATGTTTATATTTTCTTCAGCATCATTCAGATGTTTAGTCTCCTTAAGTTCTTTCTGTTTAATATCATTGTTTGTTTGTGTCTTCTTTAAACTCTTTGAATTCTGGATGAAGTTATGATTAGTCTTTTAAATTCTGTGTCCTGAGGCTCATCTAGGTAATTCTTATTGGCAAACCTTTCTACAGGACTGGTAAGTTTTGGGGAGAAGATATTGGCTTGGTCTCACATACTCATTTTTTGTGATGATATCTGGTACATGGACTTCTTTTGTTAGTTATAAGTCTGATATAGACAGAACAGGCTGGACAGAAGAGAGGATATGCCTGTGGGTTGGGTCTAGAGGTTGAAAACTGGTTGAGTGAAATGAGATCGGGTAGACAGAGGGGACTGTGTTCTGTTCAGGATGTGTTTCCTGGCCCAGGCTTGGGGTGGGGGTTTAGATCTGGCTGGAAAGGTTGGCTATGGCATGTGGGGGCCTGTGACTTTCAGAATAAGTATGGAGGATCCTTGCAGAAGCCTCAAGATCATTTGTGGCACACGCAGAGAGGCTAGACTAGGCAGGGGCACTGGATGCTGGACTGAGACTAGATCTGGTGGGCTCAGGAGAAGTGATGGGAGGTCAGGGAAACTCACTTGGCTAGACCTCGGAAAAGAAAGTGGAATTTCTGTCTGGTTGGATATGATGTAGAAGAGACCTGTGGTTGATGGCAGGTAGGACAGGTACTGGTGGAAGCTTAGAGGTTGGTTTTGGTGTATGTAGGTTTGGCCAAGAGTGGGCCAGGGCACCAGATTTAGGACCCATGCTATATCTGGCAGTCTAGGGGTCATGGACGGCCTTTTCTACATTCTGAACTGAAATATAATCACATCACTTTCCCCTTCCATTTCTTCTTGCAGTTCCTCCCAAGTCCTCTTCCTTCAACTTCTTCCATATCACCCTACTCTTGTATTGATAGTTTAAAAAATATTATTGATATATATATATATATATATATATA